AAAACCCTTCATGATTTAGTCTGACCACATTGGAAAGAAAGCGGGCTTCTCATTTTTGCTACACAGCGTTTAACTTCTATAAAGTTATCTGTCAATTTTTAGAAAAGCTTTCTTTTTTTGTAAATCTGCACTGCAAAGAAAGAGCAGGAACTGGCTTGTTTAACTTCAAGTGTGTCTTGGAAAGCATGGTGCTCAGGTTTATTTACACGTCTCTTTATTTATGGAAATGTGGCCTTCGCTTCAACTACTGTACCTATCCTTTAAGCTGGTTGCGGTTGTGTGGGAGTTTGGGGGGGTTGTTTGTTTGTTTTTGCTTGATTTAAATATATATATATATATATATATATCTTTTCAGCTGGTAGATTTTGAAGCCATGACCACACCCAGTCCAGATAGCTTCAGTAAAACAGCAAAGAGCTGGATGAATCTCAAGAGGTACAAAGAGTAATAATTTCTCTGGTGTGTTATTTGTCTGCTTCAGAGGCACATTATCTGACATTTTCTCTTCCTCTCTAGTTTACCAAGTTGGTACCAGAGTCTTCCATCTGTATCAGAGTCCTTCCCGACAACCAGAACAATGATTGAGGTCCTCAACACAGACTCATCTTCACATTGTCCAAAAAAGTCTTAACACGACTTGTGCACTGCAGAGAGGTCTGTTTAGGAAAGTCTTAATAATAAAGCTCCTGCACTGGGTAGAGCCTAAGGGACCGTCATCTTCTACATCCCAGTCAACACTGGACTGAGATCGGCAAAACCATCTCGGCACAATTAATTAGGAATTAATTATTTAAAATGTAATAAGGGTTTTGGCAAAGTAGTAGTGTGAGCTCTTTTTGAACCTTGAAGGAAGTGAAAGGCTTTTAATGCAAATTCATGGGATTGCTTTACTCTTTAAAGAGGTGACCTCTGTTTTAATTTACCAAAAGTTGATCTTACTGTTTTATCCAAATCTTTGTTGCCTGTTGTTTCTCCTTAAATCCATGTAAAAAATCAGCTTCTACTTAAAAAACATGGTTTGAAGGGTTTTCAGAAATCTTAGGTTGACGTGCTAAGTCACCTCTCTGCCACCTGTTTTAAGTTCTTCAACCTCTGTTGTCAGGCAATTCAACATTTTTCTTTTCTACTTCTTATAGCACAACCTTAACTCACAGAACTCTAAGGATAAATTTAGGTGCTTTTGTTATTACTGGCCGATGTTAATTCCTTAGATCCACACTCTGTGTTTGTGGAAACGATACTGGATGGTGAAAGCAGGATGTTTCAGTTTGTTTGGGATGCAGAAGAGATTCTGTCCACCTTTTGCTCTTTCTCTGCTTTATAGGCCTCGTGCCTCAGACGCCCAAAGCACAACCAACGCCATCTGTCCATCGGTCGGTATGAACAAGCTTTCTTTGCAGAGTCATGCCGAAATCTCTTACTTTAGGTTACCAAGAATGTGAAATGGCACTTTCTGGTTTTATTTAACATTAAAGATTGTAATTGACACTTTAAACATTTTCTGTTAAACCACTGCTGTGCACGCACACAGAATCCAACCTTTCAGCAGAGAATGAGTCTGGGGGGTTTTAAAAATATGGAACAAAATTTTCAGGGCTATTGTTTGTCAGCACTTGAGCAAATATGATTTATTTTATTATTTTCTTTTTGTTAATGATGAATAACAGCAGTCAGAGATTTTAGAGAGCTTTCAGAGCCATTTGGTGCTTTTTGCGTAAAATATCAAACATTCACCAAATCTGCAGGTGTCTTGTCGTTATCAGTTTTGAATCTACAAAAATTACAAAAAGTCAAAAAGTTTCTTGACTTTTTCTCTGGTCTTTTATAAGTTCAATCATTTTGGGGGATTTTTTCATTACAAATGCATTAGACCATCTGTCATTAAAAACAAAAAAACTCTTAGAAATCTCCCCAGAACTTGTTTAAAACAAAAAATTAAATACACAAAGTTTAACCTGGCCCAATCAAGCATAACATTCAACCACTAAAACATTTTTCTTCCATGGAGCAACAATGGTAAATGATTGCAATTTGGTGTTATAATCAAAAAATAATTGCTTTACTATTTTATTGCTTGGATAATGATAATTATTTATATTATTTTGCATTAAAAGTATTGAGCATTAAGTATTAAGCTCTTGATTAGAGAGCTTTTGCATTCTGGTGATCGAATAAATATGTTAAGCACATGTAGCTCTAAATGGCTAACATAAAACAATTTCACCGTAAATAAAACCACAAAGAAATCAGACTGGCTTAATGAGAAGACACTTCTTTATAGTTTCAATCATTAGCTCTTAAACACTACATTTACATTTTTAAAGTTTATGAATGTAATCGGACTTACCTGACCAGAACTTCAGATGATCGTCCTCTAACATCTGTGACTGTTGTGCCTTTAAAGATTCATTATGGATGGAGAAAAGCACACCGCATTTATTTCCTTCCTGTCTTCCCTCGAACTTGCATCAGCTGCCTCTCTTACATCGAATATTAGCTCATAGATTCAGTTTGCTTCCTCATCACACCTGAGAGCAATATCTTTGGGAGATAAGGGACATGTCTTAAAGATTAAAATATTGTCTTTGATTATTTTAACCCCCCTTTTTATTACATATGTAACAAGTTCTTGTTTGAGTTTTTGATATCTGGAGAAAATCTGGTCTGAATTGGAATGTACTTCAGTTTAAATAATAAGACTGATGGTGTGGTCTTTTTTTGTTTGTTGGTTTGTTGTTTCAGAAAATCTGGGTGAATCCTGCAGGATTTTTTTTCACTTAGGTAAAATGTAAACATGCAGTAACCTATGGAAATAAAATTTAAGCACAGTGATGAACAAAATGAGAAGGTGTGACTCACCTGGACTAATCTATCATATTCTGTGGCCTTTGATGCTTAAAGACACACCATTAATAGTCATATCAATACTGCAGTAGTTCTGTTTTTTGAATGTCCACAACAAAGCAGTCTCTCCAGTGTTTAATTGGTTTTCGCACTTCACCAAAACGTCAGGTCCTTTGGGGTTTTTTCTTATCGATGGTTATGCTAACTGGTTGTTATTTTCTTTTCTGTGCTGGGTGTCCCAGTCATTTATTTCTGCAATGGGCTTTAGAGTGAGGAGTGCACAACTTATCTAATGTCTTCAGACTTGAAGGAGGGACTTTTTTATGAAATGAATGTTCAGCAGTTAATAAAAGTGTTTGACAGTTTTAACAGTTTGTGGTGATTTTTGTTTTCCTCACAAGAAGTTCACAAACAATAATTTAGTCAAGAAGAAAGAAAAATGCATTCATGTTTTGGTGTGGCAGACCGTCAGTTCTGTCCTTACAACGTATATATATATTTAAATTACATGTACCAAATGAAAGTGAAGTCAGTAAAGAAGTGTGCGTCTTCCTTTGGCTGATCGCTCTAGTGGTCACCACAACAGATCTGGTTTTCCTCTTTACCTCCCGCCTGGCAGCTCCATCTTCAAAATCCTTTGTCCAGTATATTCACCATCCCTCCTCTGCACGTGTCCAAACTATTGAACATTCACATCTCACAACTTTGTCTTCAAACTGCTCAACCTGAGCCGTCCCTCTGATGTACTCCTGTCTAATCCTGTGCATTCTGGGCACTCCCAGTGAAAATCTTAACATCTGCATCTCGGCCTCCTCTGGCTCCACTTTGTGACTTTTTGTCAGCGTCACTGTCTCCAAATACATCATACCTACCGTCATTGTTTTAATTCTTGGTGCTGTCCATCTGTCACAAATCAGCTCTGACATCCACCCACTCTACCTTGAAAATACTCTTCTTCACCTTCTCTTATGTTCGCATGCTCATTTTCTACATTTATCAGCTCTTCACAGGACTCTCCCACCTTCTCAGCACACTCTGACTTGTTAGCACATTTCTATTTCTCTTTGATCACCCTAACCTTCTGTTCTTTCTCTCGCTGATTTTGAATTATGACTGTAAAATATCTGATCTGCTAGGTTTAAGTTTACTGTTATTACAATTATTTAAACAAATACAGTTAAAATGTAGAAATCACTCCACTTTCCCTTGAGAAAAGTATGTCATTATTGTATTATCTGGACTAAGAAGTATTTTCTTTACTGCAGTTCAATTTCATTCACTTAAATTTGTTTTTGGTAGCGTATGTGGGCTTCCATATAGGGTGGACAGGTCATGCTTTGTAGGCTCAGTTTCGTAGACACGGATTAAGCCTAGAGGCAGGATAAAAGAAACATTCAGGGAAGTTCTCCAATGAAAAAAGGCTAAATCCATGTCTGGGAAACCAAGCCTGAGAGATTTGCATTCAGATTTAATGAATGCAAAACTCTGTTTTTGCACTGAGGCTCCTGCAGTGTTGTGCATTAAGAGTCATTTCACACCCTCATCATTGTCAAAATCTCTGATCATGTCCACAATCCTGGTCGACAAGCCAAGTCTATCGAGCATGTTAGGTCCATTATGTCTGTTTACCTTCAGTCACATTTGAACCATCTAAACGAGTAAGATTACTGTTTACCCTTTGCCATGTTGCCCCCTAAAAAGCTGCTTATTAACTGAGCCAGTGTCATCTAAGGATTTCATCACTATCACCGACTGTCAGCTGCAAATATCAGAACCTCAAAGTTCTGACAGTAAACACTCTTTACTGTATGCCCAGCACAGACAGCATTCATAATTGATGCTGAAAGTGGCCAACTGAATACACCTCCACTGACTGTTGGAGCTTAATGTGGCTGATTGACTGGCTGATAAGAAGGAAGATGTTTGTAAGAACAACAAATGAGCCAGTGATTAAGTATGTCTGTGTATAGAACTGAAGAGCAGCTCAAATTCATCTGCAGTTAATGTTTAGTTTTGTTGCACAGCTGAGTAGAAAAGCTTCTTTCAGAAATTACTTTCTCTTGCAAGTCTCCCTGCTCACCACTAGGTGCTGCATAAAGGTTTTCAGAGTCAGACCCACGTGATTTTGTCACATGGAAGATGTAGTTTGCATAGCATCGCTGCATTATAGTGCAGGTGACTACAGATTAGTTGTCAGAGTGGCTGTGGGCTGATGTGGTGATCATGGCTGAGGATGTGGCCGTGTCAGAGGAGATCTTAACAGATGGTCTCACTCTGCTGGTGAACATGGGCAAAGTTCTCCTGCAGAACGCCAAGGAGGAGGCAGCAGGTAGGGCTGATCCTAGTCGCAAACCCTGTTGAAAACCTTTCACACTTTAATGTGTGTTGCTACCAGAATATCTAAAAACTTCCTAGAAATGTATGTTTATGCTTTGTTAAAGTTTTGTTCTGCCTCTTTTGTAATTCGGCATATAAAATATGCAAATTATCATTTAACTTTTTTTTTAATGGAAACTTTATTACTGGGTAATAACCCTGTGTGTGTGTTATGGCTGTTTTACAAAGAAGTAAAACCACACACAAAAAAACAAAAACAGAACAATAATTATGTCTATGTTTGTCTGCCGAATTGAAGAAAAGATATTTTTATAATAAGCTGATGCTTTATCTTCGTTGATTAACTGCTTTATAACAGTCCCTAACCTTAAGAGTATAAGAATGCAAGAAATTTGAATGAAGTCTGGGTTTCCTATTGAATATTTTATAACTTGGCTTCTGGAGCCTTGTTACTGGATTAAAGGGGCCTGCTGGCATGAAGGTGGTGTAATGTAATCCCCGTCATGCCTATTGCCAACACAATGACATTGCACAAACAGCTTGACCCTGTAACTGTGGCCCTTTGTTCTGATGCAGACTCTTTGGAGAATTTTGTCCCACATAAAATCACCACTTTATTCGGCCTGATCACAGCTGGAGCTAGATTCTACAGCAGGTAGGATTTGGCCGTAGACGCTTAAAGAAGCACATTTGTCTGTGTCCTTATGAGAAAAATAATAACCGTTCAATCTGTTGAGCAGCATTGAAGTTAAAAAGAAATGTGAAGCGGAGGCTGTTTGGCAGAAGTCTTATCAGTAAGTATGTTTAAATAGCAAGCTGAAATAAAATGCCATTTATATTTTGTGTGGGTGATATAGAATTTTTCTATCCTTATTCCTTCTAGCATTTGAATTCAATGACACCATTATGCCATATTAAATAAATTTAATAAAATGATGTTTATTGAGGCAAACGTATGAGGTAGACCGTGATAATCCCAATACACTGTGGAACAACTGAGAGAAAACACAGATGATGAAACTCTTCTTTTGTCCCACTTGTAACTGAAAACGTTGCCAAAAACATCCCCAAATTTTTAAGACTTCTCTTTTTTGTTATTAAGTCAGCTTCTACTTCACAAACCGCAAATGACGAAAGGCTCTTCACAGCTATGGTTGCCAAATAAATCTTTAACAGCATTTAGCCACATACCAAGCTGAAGTTATTGCTTTACTAGTTTACAACATTTACATCATGTAACATTAATCACCTACAAGTGATCTCGAATAAAAACAGCTGGAGAAAAGAATAGCTCTTATTTACTTTAAGATAAATCCATCTGCAGACCCAAGATGTGTCAGTAAGTGTATGTTGCTTCATTTTTGTTAATGCTGAAAAGTCTGGCCCTTTGGGAAACTGCTGTATTCTGCAATCTACAGTCTTGAGCAACCCCTCATGTTTATATTCTGCTGTAACCTCCTAGGACAGGAGTCCCCAATCCCAGTCCACGAGGGCCGGTGTCCCTGCAGGTTTTAGTAAATGGTAAAATTTGTATAGCGCTTTACTAGTCCCTAAGGACCCCAAAGCGCTTTACATATCCAGTCATTCACACACTGGTGATGGCAAGCTACATTGTAGCCACAGCCACCCTGGGGAGCACTGACAGAGGCGAGGCTGCCGGACACTGGCGCCACCGGGCCCTCTGACCACCACCAGTAGGCTACGGGTGAAGTGTCTTGCCCAAGGACACAACGACCGAGACTGTCCAAGCCGGGGCTCGAACCGGCAACCTTCCGATTACAAGGCGAACTCCCAACTCTTGAGCCACGATCGCCCTTTATATGTGTCCTTGATCCATCACAGCTGATTTAAATGGATAAATTACCTTCTCAACATGTCTTGAAGTTCTTCAGAGGCCTGGTAATGAACTAATCATGTGATTCAGGTGTGCTGATCCAGGGTGAGATCTAAAACCTGCAGGGACACCGGCCCTCGTGGACTGGGATTGGGGACCCTTGTCCCAGGACCTGGCGTCCACATATGTGGACATCACATTTTGGGTTATTTAGACCAAAATTTTGCTCTACAAGGGCCTGATATCCACTTATAAGGACATTACATTGCTACTGTTCTATCGAAATTTTAAACGAATATCCTCATATGTGGCTCTCATTTTTCTTAGAAACAAAAAGTCAGGTAAAAAAAAAAAAATCTGGTAGTTCTTTGTTTTTACATTCATCGGGCCCCAATCAGCCCAAATATCAAAGAGAAATTAAAAATGCATGCCGTGGAAGAGGTCAGGTCTTAGGAGGTTAAAGCAGGCAGACTCTCCTGTAATGTTTTTTCTTTAGACATTTTCTTCTTCATTTTCTCTCATTTTTAGTCCAGTTGTTGCATCTGACCAGTTTCAGAAGTATGTTTAAGCAATTTAACTTTCAATCATAAAAGGGTACATAACAGATGAACCATTGTTGTGTCTACACACAGTAGAGAACTTAGTAAAATAAATAAATAAATAGTGTTTTTAGGCACTTTGTTACATCTTTATAGGAATCTGAAAAATGCCCAAAATAACACAGCTTAAAGAAATTCCAAGAACGCTGCCTAAGAGAATTCAGGCTGTGTGAAGAAAAAAGATGATCATATCACAGATTGACTTTTAAGCTAATTAAAATTGTAAAAACTCTGTTTTTGCTCATACATTTGCTTATATTTCAATAGACTGATGCACCCGTTTGACATTTTCCTAGCAAAATATGAAAAAATTAGGATGGATTTAAGACTTTTGCACTGAATTGTAACTCCTTAGAGCATCATGTATAAAACACGCAGTATTAGCTCAGCTGCACTCATTGCTGTTAAGATGCTGACTGATAGATCTTGGATGAACGACAGTGGTGCTGACTGAAGCTCTATCACCAAACTTGTGTGTTTTTCCAGCCATGCAGCAGTGAGAGAGCAGGTGCAGGAGCTTCAGCAGCTGGAGGTGTGTACAAGTGCAACTGTTATTTCTTCTTATTGTTATATTATCCTTATTTATTTATTTTTGAGCTACACAAACTTAAAATTAAGCTTATCTGGTTGAAATGAGTTTAAACTAAACCCATGACCAGTTCCTTTTGAACACTTTAAACTGTCTATTTCTTTGTGTGTGTTTGTGCTTGCAGAAAGAGTGGGACTCTTTCCTGGAGAGTGTGGACAAAGATCTGCAGACAACAGATGTGCAGCTGTCTGGAGGAAAGACGGCCGACAGTCTGAGCCCAGAAACTCTATTCACCGATGGAAGAAGTGGAAGGTAAGTTTGCAAACCCGGCCTGAATGTGGTGCACCAGCAAAAACCAGTTCAGAGCATCAGCTGGTTTGAGGTTATTGTTGTGTTGTTTTTTAACTGACCAACCTGGGAAGACCATGTAGGTTTTTTTGTTCCATGAAACCAGAGATTAGTTTCATTAAGATGTGTTGTCTTGTGTTGTATTTAAAGGAGTGTGACTCTCAGTCAGTACCTGGGTCAGGGTCAGAACCTGCTGCTGGTTCTCCTCAGACATTTTGGATGACTGCCGTGACGAGACCACGTGACCGAGCTGACGGCCAATCAGGTCAGCGTACCTTTATTCTTATTCCACTAGAAAAAACCATCGCCATACTGAATGAACTCCAACACTGAAAAACCACAGGCACACAAAAAACAAAAACACACTGTTACTTTTTTATGAAGACAGAATTGGAAATTGAATTACTAATTTAGTCATTTAGTAATCCACAAATTAATTGTTAGGATCAGAACAGAGAAAGCCAAGATTAAGGTTTAAATTCATGAAGGCCAGTTTGTGATGTTAATAGTGGGTTTAAGGTGGGCGACAGTGGGAAGGAAAAACACCCACGACCCAAGTTCGCTCATAATATTTTACGTCTTTTTATTACTGCATCTTTTTTATAAGCACTTAGTTTACAAGGACGAAATCTTTGCTGCAAGCACTGAGATCCCAATGAAGCCACAAACAAATCTTTTCTTAGCAAGACAGCCTATAACGTTGTGCTGAAATACCCCTTTTACCTCTTTGAGGCTTCATTCTGTCTACAAAAGATTCTAAGATGTTTTTCCATAGTTGCTGTCTTCACTTAATCTTGCATCCAAAACTGGTTTAAAACTTTTTAAATGTGTAAACAGTGTTTATCAGTAATTAACATTGTATCATCCCGCAGGCTCTGCTGGAGGCTCGGTCAGTGCGGGTCTTGGTAGTTTCTTTTGGCAGCGTCGAGGGCGCTCAGCTGTGGTTGGAGCAGACTGGATGTACCTTTGACATTCTGCTGGATCCACAGAGAAAGGTTAAGAATTTTTTTCCCCCCCGCTCTGATCATCTGATTCAAAAACTGTAACTTCTGCTTTAAAACAAATTCAAATAAAAACAGTCAGTCCGTCTGCACATTTTACTACATTTTATATTTATATTCAGTGCTGGTCGGGAGGTGCATAAACTCTAAATAGGCCACTGTAATTTATAGAAAGTAGATTTGGCTGTGACTCAGTACAAACAAACCGAGGGACCCGGAGGATTTAGCAGCTGTTTGATGATGTGTCATAAAAGCCCAGCGACCTCAGCCTCCAAACCATTTATTCAGAAAAGTCAACCACCAGATGTTAGCTGGAGTCAAGTGGAAATAACCAAATATGAAAACAGAACATTTTCCACATGCCACACAAGCAATCCTCAGTCGCAAAAAATGCAACGCTGATGCATGCTACTGACTGTATAAACCGCATGTGTTCTTAAATGTCTCTTTTCTGGCACAGGTGTACAGAAGTTTTGGCCTTGGCTCATCCTACGCCAAGGTGATGAAGTTTGGCTGCCTGCTACAATACTCAGACTACGTAGTTGCAAACATAGACTTCCCAGATTTCCCCCATCGTCTGCTGGAAGACAGCTACCAGGTAAGAATGCACAAGTCTGTGAAAACCTTTGACGAGACTCTTGTGATGACACATTGAAGAAATCCTAGAAATCTATCCAAGGATGGATTTACATGCACGAGTATCTCGCATCCTTCTTCTATCCCTTGGATATTAGCAAAATGAAAATCCAAGTTGAGTCCCTGAAGTCCTGTGAGATTAATATTTTTTATCTTGTATGCAGAAGATCAATGTTGAACATTATAATTAACAGTGTGCATAGAAATAAAATGAAAAAATGCCCTAACACCCTCAGATGCACTTAGCCACCTTATATGGAGACAGCTTATGATTAAACTGAACAAAAGCACTGTAGATGTCTCTTTGGTTGAAGTCTATCTAACTGCTTTGGTAGATAAATGTGCTCTTTCCAGCTTCTTCTATTCAAACCTGACCATGATGTAACTGAGGACACTTTACTTTAAAAGTGAAAATTAAAACGAGGACAGAGGTGAGGCGGTGAGAGTGTCAGTTTGTAGAAGTCAGGATATGGATCAGATTCTTTTCTAACAATAACTTTAGAGATAAACATCCAGTGCCATCATTAAGCCCTTCTCTGCTTCAGGTCATTTTCATGTTCTTGGTTTTGTATGTGGCCCTAATTACAGGCTCATGTCTATATCTGTCTGTGTAGCTGCATCAGCCTTTTAGAGAACACGAAACCTCCGTGATCAGGGTTGGGAAGGCAGCGAAAAATCCTGTCTTGCAGAACACCAGAAGAATATTTTCTGTTTCTTAAAGCACTTTTCACAAACTATATGAGAGCAACTACTACTACTTAGTCGTTGGTTATAACCAGAAGCGCTTGGGAGGTCTTTTGGTCAGTTAAATGCATCAGGCGAGACATAAATGCAGGTCATAATTTGCACAGAAAACAATAACATATTTATTGTGTTTTGTCCTTTGGACGAAGAGGGCATGTATAGTATAAACTATAATGTTTAAGCTGAAACAGCCGGGGTTCCTTTAAAGGAAAAAGTAATTTGGGGCTATTTATGGGACTCCACAGGGTTCAGTTTAAAACTGCAATACGTTTTTATACCACTTGGGGGCAGTGACACATTCATATTGTCCTTTTAATTCAACTTTACTGATTAAACAGTTATTTATTTATATAGGCGGTATGTTATGGAGCAACATGTTCATTATTTTTACATTATTGCTACTTTAAATCCCCGGGTGACTCTTTTGTTTTAGAAAATTAATTTTAAATACTCCATAACAGACAGGACTACCACATCCACCGTAAAAAGTCAGACTGACCTTCAAATTTTACAGATTTAACTTCAGGAGTGGTGATAATTGAATAATGTGTGTTTGTCTTTTCAGCTAGGAGGTGACTTTTTGCTGGACAGTGCAGGGAAGGTACTTCTCTCTCATCCATCGAAAAACCCTCTGGACAGGCCGACCGTGGAAGACGTCTTGCAGTCCGTGGACTCCGCAGGACAGTCCACTAACTCTGCTCACAAGCAGAAGCTGTGAAATTCATTCAAACACAGCCTCAGGGGTTCAAGTCGCTAAACGCATCGCTGACTCCTCACGGCAAGCGCAGCTCTTTGGCTCGCGTTCATGACGTCACACCTTACACTCATGACATCATGAAGGGGTGCGACTGATGTTCCAGCGCGAGGCAGAGACATCTGCTCTTCTGTGTTGCGTCAGCATGGCGATGCAGCATTGCAAATAAAGTAGTGGATTTGATTAAAACAGAATTTGACAATATATTTGTATTATTTAAATTTAACAAAGACTGAAGATTTGTTTCAGGAATTTTACCTTTTAAAGGTGCATTTAACAGGTTTGGATTTTAGTGACCTCAAGTGACAGTGAACGGTAACACAGTTTGAATTACATCATTACCCACAAATCACACAGTGATATGAGACTACTGCAAAAACATTTTTATTACATATTACCTATGATCCATGAGTAGTTTGATGATAAAATCACTACCCAGATAAGGCTGAGCACTAAAAATATGATGAAAAAATATACTGACATATTAATTTATGGTCAAGTATGTGCCCTTGCTTTATATTTTAAAAATGTGACATTTATATACAAAGTTTCTGTGAGAATTTAAGCAAAATTTAACAAGAACTATGACTTATTTTGTAGCATAAAAAAGGAATTTACCTCTATATTTCTAAACAGTTGTGATATTGCAAAGGTTTTGTCTTGGTATGAAAATGAAAACTCATTTTAGTCCACTGATTTAGTAGTACTATTTAAAAAAAAATGAAAAGTACCACTCCTTACGAGTGAAGCAAATCTCCCTTTTACCTGTTGAACATGTTGAACAAACTATAATCAAACCATAATAGTAAAGTTTTTTAAAAAAACATCCAGGCTTTTATCTACACTTTTCTCTTTTGTCTTTATGCATGGACTCTGGTTCAGGATACATTTGCACACAGTGATGTGTCATTTTAAGGAAGTAAAAGAGGGTTCAGGGTGGGATTGCAATAACAGAAGTCACACCCAGCACTAGACTTTGTTAAAACATCTTCAGCATGAAACATAGAAATGCTGCTTAATTCCACTTTAGCCAGAGTACACACTGATTCATCCCTTCAAGTTCAGTATGTGCTGATCCTGAGAGAAAAAAATAACTCCAGCGTTCCATTTTTCTCTTTTTTGGAAACTTGACAAATACTTAGAATCCCATGAATGAAATCACAGCAGAGTCCAGACTGGCTTTAACTCATATTACTGCTGCTGCATGAATAATGTAATATTCATAAGTCTGATAAAGCCTTATTCAATCAGTACACATCTTGTATAGAAATAAAGGATTTCTGAGACATCGCTGTAAAACACTTTAAATACTATAAAGTATTTCCATTCAGCAAGAATCTACTTAAACAAAGCTACAAAGTTTTAAATGAAAATAAATTATTAGAAAATTGAAATGGGCTTTGTTTTCTAATGATCTGCTGGTGTTTAATGTCATAAAGAGAGGCTGTTTGGAAAAGGTTCCTTTTAAAGAGCCACCCTGTCATCAAATTCGCACATATAGTTCATGGTTCGATCGCAGTAGTGGTCCCACCAGTCGCCATCATCTGACGACATCGCCACGCAGTTCTCTCGCCTCCCTCCATCTGGCTGGCTGGACAGGAAGTGCTTACGCCACTGGAAGTACGTGACCCGAGTTCCATCGTCAAAGAGGTACAAGCCCTCAGAGCGGAGGTCGTTGACTCCCAGCCAGACCGGCCAGTTTCCAGGGTGGAAGAAGTTCTTTACGTAGTCAGCCAGGGCCTCTTGCTCCTTTCGATCACGGGGCATTGCCATGCGTCCTCCACGTTCTATGCACTTCCTGGATGCTCCGGCATAATCTTCCAGGCTGTTGTACACCAGGTAACACTTGTATCCAATCCGTTGTCCCTTCTCGCAACCTTTGAAGCAGAGAAAAAACAAGACTGGTGCATTTTCAGACATTTACCACAAGTTTCTGAATTGGCCACTTGAAGCGGACTCTAATAGAAATAAACATGTAACATGCATGGTTTTGGTCTCTATGGCTAATCTTCCCCTTCATTGTAACTGCATGGAAGACCGAGTTTATTTATTTATTAATTTTTTTAAATTGTGGTATATCTTGAACTTATGGACTATTAGGTGCATGGCTGCTTTGAGTGGTTGTGAGTAAATAAACTAAACCTCTTGGCTGTTTGTGGAACTTTTTAGAGCATTTTTAAAACAGCTATCCACAATCTAAAGATGCAGCTTGCTAACATTAGCTGCTAATGTAGCATGCTATCGTGTTGTCAAAATATGACCACTTCTGGTTGAGGAAACAAAACAGGAAAAAAAAAACACATACAAAAACATGCTTTCTTTTGAAAGCAGTCGAACAATTTGTTATCCTTTCATAACCTTAATAAGTCATTGTTGAAAACATGTTAGCCGGGAGAAATTAGCATGGCTCTGTTATCTCCATTTTTAGCTGAATTTTGGTCTCTACCGTCTCTTAAGGGAATCTGTGTTTGCTGAATTTTTCAGCTTTATGCAAATGTTTTTGTATGCTGGTTAGTCTGAACAGGGAGCATATGTGGGTTTATTTTCCAATGAAAATGGTTACCATGCAACCAGAAGAGTGAATCAAAATAGATTCATAGCCTGAATAAAAACATGCTAAAACAAGCCAGAGGAGTGCGGGAAAAAGTGGTGAGTGTTCTCTCTTTGAAATGCTGGTTTTGATTTCAGGCTTGAGAACTGATTGATCTTCCTCTTTTGTTTTTTGTTTTTTTTAAGAGGATCAAGTCCCAAAACCAAACCAAACCAATGTCACGCCTCTTGTTATTACAGCTACTTGGTTGATGCCTGGAGTGCTGAGCCATCAGCACGATTTTTAGTTTAAAGGCACGAGTGCACCTCACGTACCCTTTAATTTTGCTCAGAGTTGACAGAAATGCTGTAAAATTTCAACACACCTTGTTGATACAAACATAGGCGTATTTGCATATTACTGAACAGTTGATATGTTAGTTCCTGCATGTTGCATCATGTGTCCATGTTGCCATTCAACCTTCCCTTTCTTTGCACATATCCACTGTCCTTCTCTGGCCTTCAGATTTTATTACCCCTGTTAATTAGTATTTATCCTCCAATGAAATTTTTAGGTGTATTTTATATATGCTTTTCTCACTATTTTCTCATTACTGATAGTTTAACAAATAATTTAACGCTACAAAACATAAAATAGAAATTTATATTTATACAATATTTAGTCTGCTATTTTAAAATGCCACAGTGCAGGATGGGATGCTTGAAGTAGATCTAAGGAAAAATGATACACATGTACCTTCGAGTCTTCCGATCTCCTTGCGGTTGTCCTTGCTGTGTTGGTAGACCTCCTGGATGCTGTCCTCCAGCTCACCGACTTTAGCTGCCATTTGAGTGATGAGGAGCAAGAGAAAGACGGGAACATAAAAGTAGGTACAGCGAAAGGCTTTGTTCCCATTAGATCTAAATCGAAAATAAAAGCTCCCGTGGTACAGCATTAATACCCCTACTCTCAGTTTCATCAACACCATCACCAGTCTTACCATCCATCCTGGAGAGACGATCCATCAACTGGCTGACTTTAACATCCAGAGTGTAGTGACCAACATTCAGCTTGTGGATGGCTAGGTCCATACTGGCCAGTCTGGATACTGTGGGCCAGAGTAGATTGGAAGTGAGAGCACAGTATGATATTTTTTTTTTTTTTAAAAGAGAACACACAAAGGAAGGCTACCGGCATACAGATATGTGACTTTCCAAAATCTGGACACTTCTTACTCCAGAAACAAAACAGAAAAGCCCTTAATTAGCCTGTCAAGAATGTCCAATGATACGGCCATCAGTCTGTGGATGCACTCTACCAACCAACGTTGGTAGCATAACTTATCTCTGTACTCTTTTTATTTTCTATTTTCTATTTGGGTTCCCCACCCACCCCTATAGTTTCTTTTCTTTTTATCTCTTTTTTCTCTCTGTCAACTCTTGAGGGAGATACCTCGCTGAGATGAGGCTTAAAGTTATCATGATGGTGAGTGACATCACAGATTTCTGACTCGTATGACCAAAACCAACACAAATTTCAACATTTCTAAAATAACGTACAGACATAGTTGTATGAGTTCTCAAAGTCCGATACTGGGCTGGTTGGCTCTGCTTCAGGTTCTGGTAGAATATCGGGAACATCGCCTCTTGTCCTCTTCACCTCTGGTTCATACGCCTGATGGAACACACACACACATAAAACTCCCAATCCATCACATGTAAGTGTGTTTAGTGTCTTGGCTTTAGTGGTTAAAGTAAAACAAAACCCAACTTCCATTTCTTCCCAAAACAAACTTATTAGGGTTGTATCCAAATTCCAGTTTAGACACATCTGGAGCTGTTTTACATTCATATTTTCCTTATCGCAGAAAGCAGAAGCATTCAATATCAAGTCAGGCCAAGAATTTTACTCCTATTACACTTATAGAACACAGAGGAGCTCAACCAAGTTTATCACTTTATATTTAGATTTAAGAGCTCAGTGGATAAAAATGTTACCATTTAAAAGTTGAATATCTTAGCTGGAAAGCACATGGTGTAGACTTTGATCGACAACAGCAATATATTTACAAGTATCAGCACGTTCCTTCAGTGGCTTATGGCATGGTGGAGGGAGAGGGGTGCTTTATTTTGAAGTCAAACACACATGCAGACAAGTCCAATGAAAGAAAAACCTGTCGGGTTGATCTGCTTCTCTGGGTGTGTCATCATCAGTTCTTCACATGTCCTTTCCATTACATCATAACTTATAGTAGATAAATCAACACAGATTACATCATGTTTTCCACTTTATTCTTACATAAAGATAAAGAAAGAACAACAAAATCTGCCTTAGTGTGTCTTAATTGCCTCATTCACTGAAACACTCACAGTCACTCATATACATTTACTACATATGAAAGGGATCAGAGTCTCAACCTAACAAACAGGCATGGCAGATCACAGTTAAGAAAATGCACGACAGTGAGAGCAGCCTCTAATAGAAAGAGCACATACAGCATATGAAGTCCTGACCTGTGCTGGTGCAGCGCTGCCTGTCCCCATAGGAACACACACTCCCAGAGAACATAAACACAGCAGAGCGAGCGAGGTGGCAGCCGGTCCCATTTTCTGCTTCATAGTAACTCTGCTTTTCCTTCAGCAGCAAAAACTCCCTCTGT